AAAAAAAAAAAAAAAAAGATCATGGCTACATGAGACTCAGTCTCAAGGAAACAAAGAAACAAGCAAACAAAAAACAGCAGCAGCAACAACAAAAACCCAAAACAAACAAAAACCCCCAAAGCCACATCAAGGCTCAAATCCGGAACAACGTGTTCTTGGAATTTCAAGGTTGCATAAGCCCTAATCAGGGGCATTGGGTAAATGCAGGAAAAGGTTTCTGAGTGGGAATGTGTGTAGATGAGCGTTAGCTTTACGGGAGAAGCCACTGCTCAGAAGGCTGTCCCCGTGTTTGGAGTGACCCTGTGATAGAACTTATTCTGTGGCCTGGAAACAGGGCACTTAGAAAGCCACATCAGCCAGGAAGGAAGTTCCTCAACACAGACCCCAGCCGAGGCTGGCTAGAGTGCTTCAGTGCTGGTAGCATACATGTTTCTGGTAGGGCAGCAGCCAGCCACAGGGTCATGTGTTACTTTTTTCTAGGAATTTGGGGGAAAGGCTGAGCGATTTGGAAATGGGCCTTGGGGGGGCGGCGTTAGAAATCTTGTCCCCAGAGCACCCCAGATGTAGGAGCCGATGGCCAGTCTATCGCCTTAACCATCCTAGTCACTGCCTGTGAGCTTCAGAGGAGCAGAGGGAGGGAGGCACACGAGTTAAGGGGCTGGAGAGCCCACTGCCGAGAGCACGCTGCTCTTGTAGGAACTCGAGCTCAGCTCCCAGCACACATGTCAGGTGTGTGCATGTACACACACACACACACACACACACACACACACACACACACACACACGAACACACATACATGAACACACATCACATTTTCTTTTTTTAAAAAAATAGAATGGTTAAATAAAAATTTAAAGGTCATATTATTATCAAACTAGAAGTTGGGAAAAATAATCTTTTCTTGGGCAAATACAGCCATCTCCAGGTCATTTTTATGGAGTAAAGTTATACAGTGAAGTAATAGTGACTGTGGATGTTTATACTCTGAGTGTTATTTTGTCAAGACTGTTTGGGTATGGGGGCACACTTCTATAATTCCAGTACTCGGGATGTTGAGGTAGGAGAATCAAGGCCAGCCTGGGCTACCCAATGAGACCCCCATCTCAGAACAAAACAGGAAGTAAAACATATCCTAAGAGAAATGAACTGCAATGAAATGCATGGCTCAACCTTCACTTTTGACAAAAATCTAATAAAAATGGAAATCTAGATTAAGTAGAGTGTCCTGGAGCTTGTCCTTAACCATAGATCATTTAAAAATAATTATATTAGGTTGCAAAAAGCTCTCACTAAATCCTTGACAGGGAACTTAAGCAGGACATGTTTTCTAATTCAATGAAGCCTGGCATAACAGATCTACAGAAGATTAAGCATTCAACTGCTCAGCAATGAGAAAAGACAGCTCAAGGAATAAAAACCAGGTCAACTAGGGCTGCTGCTCAGTATGTGCTTCACATGTGGGCAGCCGTGGTTCAGTGCCAGCACTATCAAACATAAACAGGACCAAAGTAGCAGCTGCAAACTGTCCATTGCATGAAGCCAAATGATACTCAGAAGTTCACCCACTGGGCTAAATATGAAAATATACCAAATTCATTTTATCATAGAAAAAACACAAAGCCGGGTGGTGGCGGCGGCGGCAGCGGTGGCGGTGGGGTGGGCGGCACACGCCTTTAATCGCAGCACTCGGGAGGCAGAGGCAGGCGGATCTCCGTGAGTTTGAGGCCAGCCTGGACTACAGAGTGAGTTCCAGGACAGGCTCCAAAGCTACACAGAGAAACCCAGTCTCGAAAATCCCCTCTTCCCCCCCAAAAAAGGAAAGAAAAGAAAAAAACACAAAGGACAAACCCATCCATAGAAAAGGTTCTGGTTAGCTCTTGTCTGTCAGATACAAATCTAGACGTATCTAGGAAGAGGGACTCTTATCTGGGGAATTGTGTCCATCAGACTGGCCTACAGGCCCTACAAGCCAGTCTGTGGGCACATTTTCTTGCTTATAATTGATGTGGGAGGGCCCAGCTCATTGTGGGTGGGGCCACCCCTGGGCTGGGTCTTGGGTTGTTCAAGAAAGCAGGCTGAGCAAGCCATGGGAAGCAAGCCAGTAAGCAGCACCCCTCCACGGCCTCTGCGTCAGTTCCTGCTTCCGGGTTCCTGTCCTGCTTGAATTTCTGCCTGACTTCCATCGATGATGAACTGACGTGTAAGCCAAATAAAGCCGTTCCTCTCCAGTGCTTTAGGCCGTGGTGTTTACCACAGCAAGAGAAGGGAAACCAGGACAGAAACCTGGAAAATAGGAAGTACGAAACCAAAGTGGGCCAGGTGTGGTAACGTGCCAGGTGTGGTAACATCCACCTGTACCCCAGCACTTGTGAGGTGGTGTAAGAGGATTGAAAGTTCTTGGCCAGTCAGAACTATGTGACTAGACTCTGCTCCCCATCTCCTCCCACAAAAAGCTGGGACATAGCTTGGGGGTACAGTGCTTGTCTAGACTGTATGGAGTTCTGGGTGCGATCCCTGTGGCTAGAAAAGAAATTAGTAATCAGGAAAAATTTTAAGACCAATAAGTAACTCCAAGAATTAGTGTATAAGACCTATGAATAAAAAAAAAAATAAACATGAGTTGCTCAATAAGGCAAACTGAGAACACACAGCAGCAGAAGCCAGCCGGATGCCATCTCAAAAACCTATCAGTGAAAAGAATGTTGTAAGTCACTTGGTTTTAAAGAGAATCCATTGAAATAGAAAATTTCATATCAAACACATGACCAAAATTTAATGACACAGCAGCAAAATAAAAAATTTAAACTCCAGATAAAACCGATAAGGGCAAATGCCAAGACTCTCGGAAAATGTTCCAGATCTGGATGACTTTGCAAGTGAGCTGCAAACCTTCAAGGGCGATGATCCTGCCTTCTTTAAACGCCATCAGGGCAAGGAGAAAGCTGGAGTCTCCCCGGTTCTTGTTATAAAGTCATGGCTGAACGCCCTGGAAGTGGACTGCTCAACCTCACATGAGAATATGTGTACACAAATCCTTAGCAGATTCTAGCAATAAAACTCAGAAGAGGATTTCTTAAAACAATGAAGAAGGAATCAGGGCCAAGGAGATGGCTTAGTTGGCTAAGCAGTTGCCACGCAAACAGAAGGACCTCTGCTTATCACGAGAATCCATGTTTAAAAAAAAAAGTCAAGTATTTTGGGACACATTTGTAATCCCAGCACTGGGGAGGTAGAAACAGGGGGAGCACTTGGACGGCCAGCCTAGCTGACTTAGAAAGTTCCAGACAAGTGAGAGAACAGGCCAGTGAGAGACCTTTCCTCAAATGATGTGGTGAGCTACTCCCAAGGATCAAACCCTAAGGTTGAACTCTGGTCTTCACATGCATGTGTGCTTACATGTAAACTTGCGTGCCTGCACACACACGTACACACACACACACACACACACACACACACACACACACACTTGTGCACGCACACACCAGAGACCAGATTTGTTTCACGTATTTCAAAAGAGCCCAACATTCAGAGATCTATCACTATAACTCATTGTGACAATTGTTCAGGGGGGGAAAAGGAATCAATGCCCCAAATGCATTTTATAAAACTCAAAATCCATTTCTGAGAAAGAGCTATGCTGAGCTAGAAGTAAAGGACATTTTCTCGACATGATACAGAACAATGATGGCAAACTTTGTGGTTAAAGAACTCCTCCATTAAAGTCAGATGCCAGACTAGGGGGACCATTCTCTAAATTATTAAACATTCTAAAGCCTGAGGGAATAAAATCAGAAAACTAGAAAAAACAAGCCCAAGGGCAAAATGCGAGCAGATGGAGGCAAAACAACGTTTGCAGATGACTTGATTTTCTATATACGAAACACAAGGCCAGTTAGACAGCTCAGTGGGTAAAAGTGCTTGGCACCCAGGGCCTGACACGGTGGGAGGAGAGAACCAGCTCCCGTGGGTGGTCTTCTGACCTCTGTACTCACGCTATGTACACATTCATACCTACGTACGTATGTACCTACGTATGTACATACACACACACACACACACACACACACACACACACACAAATGAAAAATTAAATAACATGTTCTTAAAACTCAAGAGAATATGTGTGTACACATTCAAGAAAAAAATTGAGTAAAGATTCATTATGACAATGAAGTTATATATTATTTCCTGGATGGGCTTCAGGCACAGTCAGACTGTATAGAAATAACTAGGAATCTCTCCTGGTAGATATTATAGACCCAGCAGAAAACATACCTTGCTTCTGAAGATTCTAAGTCAATTCTTGAAAATAATTTTTCAAGGCTGAGATAAATGTGTGAACTAACTACAGTCCTTTGTCCTGCTGTCTAGGCACGTGGCCAAGGGGAGAAGACACAGAGGAAGACAACAGGGCTGTTCTGTAAGAAAGTAATCTACAATATGAAAACTGCTGTCAATAGAGTGAAAAGGCAAAGGAGAAACTGAAAACAAAAACAACTAATATAGTTGACATGTCAGAGAGAAGGAGCATTAATTTATAAAGATTAGAAAGCTTATAAAATATAATAGGAAAATTGGCAAAGTATGAAAATAAACATTCCATTATTTAAAAAAAAACAGTTGAGGTTCTAGGTACAGCCTGTCTCAGGGGAAAGGAAATGGTAAGTAACAGTCTGAGAAGAGGTCGAGGAAGGTGGCGCCCACCACACTCTATTGAGAGCAAGGCTGGTTCTCTCTCCAGGATGGCCAAGGGACACAATCTGCATTACACATATGTAATTTAAATATGTCTTCAAGCACATATTTAAATTCATCTAGCATTCCTACAATTTATCTTTGGAGGACAGTTCAGCTATTTCAGCATTTTCTCATTATAATTTATCTTTAAAAGACAGTGGTGCATCAAATAATTTACCAGGATGTTTACCACATTGCAGTTCATAATAGCAAAAAGCTGAACACAATCTAAATGTCTAACAGGGAGCAATTGATTCAATGGCATGCAACCACAAAAATTATATTGCAGAACCATATTTATGAGGCAAAAAAATATGCTATTACAATTATATGTGTAATATGATTATATTCAATAAGTTATCTATATTAAAAGAAAAAAGTTGGAAAGATACATCAAAATATTGCTAACAGTGATTTTAGAGTTCTCAGAACACAGTGGAGTGAGTTCGGGCTTCTCTTTCTCTAATGTTTTCCTTAGCTCCAGCCATCCCTCTATACATCTGAGTCATATGGAGCGAGGGCAGCTTTGAGGCTGTGGGCAGAGCTACACATTCCAGGAAGGAAACCCACACATAGCCATAGCTCCTCTCACTGCTCAATAGCCACCATCCTGGCTGGCCTCCTGGCTCCACTCATCTCTTCTTGTCCCCTGAAGTCACCTCCATCCTTCCCATTCCTGGCATCACAGACAATTCTCCTGTGGGTCTTTAATTCACAGCAACATCAGAAGCAGAGCCAGGCACCTCTCTGCTCAGGCCTGCTAATGCAACTGCAGCTTGGTCATTGCCTAGCAACCAAGCTGCTTCTGGTGCTTCCTCCTCCCTTCCCTACCTCATCCCTCCTCCTCTGCTCCTGGCAGACACCCAGACACCCACATACTCATGGAAGAAGCTGGGAAGACTGCGTGGGAGGTGCTGGCCATGAAGTCCGCGATCTGTCGTAGCGCCCAGATGTTGGAGGAATTGTTGCCCTTCTTCATCTGTTCCTGGATGAGACCTTCCAGCTCCTCCCTGAAAGACTGCAACAGACCAAGGGGTTGGTGCCCAGTCCTCATGGAGAGCTAAGAGCCCAGCAGGTCCTCACGAGAGGCTGAGGCCCCACAGATCCCTGGGGATTGGTGCCCAGCTCCTCCCGGCAGGACTGAGGACCCTGCAGATCCCTAGGAGCTGAGCACAGCAAGCCCTGAGGGGCGAGTCCCTGAGCTCCCCACAGGGGATGATCTCCACCCACTCCCCTCCTGTAGCTCCTCACAGGAGGACAATTCCTGCAAGTCTCCAGGGGTCGGGTCTTCCAGCTCTTCAGTAAGGGCCAAGGACCCTGAAGGCTCTCCAGAGGTAGGTTCACTAGGCCCTCAGGTACCTCCTCGGATTGTTGTATAGGTTATTAAGGAGACTGTGGGGGTGGACCTGGGCCCCCATTTTCTTTGGAGGTAGTCCGGATTCCAGTTCCCTTCTGTATGAGTGATGGCCAAGGCCATACCAGGCATGGCAGGACTTCACTTTAGATAGAATTAGCTGGATGAGGAAAGCATGCCACCTCCCTCCCCATTAGCACATCCAGGGCTCTTCTCACACGCCTCAGTGTCTCTGTGTTCTTGAGGATGAGGGAGGAGATGGAGAAGGCCTGGAGGACTTCTGCCGTGGCTCCCACTGTGTGTGCTGCATGCGCTAAGCTCAGCGTTCAGCCCGCTACGCTGTGAACTCCTTATCTTGCTGGCCAGGTGGTGGGAGGAAGCATGGGAGGAGCAGGGAGCGCTATGACACTGAGGAGCCTCTGGGAAGGGGAAAGAAGCAAGGCTCCTGCGCGGTCCCCATAGCCTGCCTCACCCACTAGCCACGGCCAGCCGGAGCTGCTCCACTCCGCACCCCTCCTGAGACTCGCTGCACGTCTGGCGGCTGCCTCAGCGGTGGCTGCCTCACACCAAAGCCTTTAAGAACCTGCTGGCTTCCTCCAGGCCCTTGACACAGTGTCACAGAGTCCCGGCTCATTCCTTCCCATTCCTCTGAGCAGTGTGTGTGCTCCTGGTGAAAACTGCCCACAGACTATGGGATGCCCTGTTCCAAAAGGCCCTGGGGAAGTCAGCTTCCTTCCTGGGCTTCCCAGCCTGCGTCCTACAGAGCCCCAGGCGCCATCCCCCTAGTTCTCCCTCCCTCCCCAGCTCTTCTTCCCTGTCCAGAGGTCAGCAGCACCCTTACCTGCTCAGACATCCATCTCTTGAGTGTACTGCCTGCCTGGGGAGTGAGCTCTGAAGCCAACCCAGCCAGGTCTGCAGACTCTAGGTCAGGCTGGCTCCTGTCCCATTGTTCCCCTTAACTCAACCCCGGCTGGACATTCAAACTCTACGTGCCCTCCAGTGAACAGCATACTCCACGCTCCTCAGAGGAAGGGTACCCTAGGCCAGCCCCCTTATGACCCATCCTTCCGTTTACACAGTCTCATCTGTTGCCTGTTGCAGGAAAGGAGAACTGGAAACCGAATCTCAGATGTGCCATCGCAAACTGGGGCAGGGGTCTTACCTCCGCCACTGTTTGAACCAGAATTTATGCACACCCCCAGGCCTCCCCTTGGCCAGTGGTTAGGGAGGCAATCAGACACCCACATGGCCAGGCCCATCTTGTTCAGCAAGCCTAAACTTCCAAGACCCTGAATGAGGGGAGAGGAGCCACTGGTCTCCCAGGTCCCCGGGAAACCAGCCCTCCCTGCCCTGTCCACTCACGGGGCTCTGCAGGATCATGGTGACCCGCTTCTTCTGCTCCATCAGGTTGAAGTCCTGCCGCAGGTCGGCTGCACGGTTGCGAAGGCGCAAGTATTCAGGGTCATCCTCAGAGAACCGGTCAAAGTAGTGCTGTCCTTGAGAGGGTGGCGGCGAGGCCGCCTCAGGGACCGTGTCCTCGCTCATGTTCCTGCTAGGGCTTCAATCCACTTCTGGAACCCTGTAGAAGAAGGCTGTGTGGGACAGGCTGGACACAGGCTGTGCTCCTAGTGGCCAGCTGATTGCTGGGGCAAAAGGTGGTGTGGTTCTCCATGCCCTGCGGCTACTTCCAGGTGAGAAGGCAGGTTGCCTCCTGGGATGATGACCCATGGAAGCTGCTAATGCACCATCAGCTGCTGGGCAAATAAGGGTCCAGCTTAACTGGTCATGTGGAGTGTCAGAGGAGACTTCCTGGGCGGAGGGGAAATATAGCTTGTAGCCCTTTCTGAGTCTTTCTGTGTTGGATCCCTACATAGTAGGGCAGAAGCTGCACCGGTACCCATGGCACTTCAGTAAAAGGCTGACCTCATCATAGTGGGCTAGAGTGTAGTTCCTAGGGAAAAGTATTTGCCTAGCACGTCTAGGCACTGGCTGGGGTCTATGCCCAGCATCTTGGACAAATTACATAAAGAACTTTTTTTGTAGGCCTCTTCGAAAGCTATAGTCGAGAAATTCACTAAAGAACACTACTGCCAGGAACCAGGATATAGCTCAGGTGAGAGAGTGCTTGCCCAGCACGTTCCAGGAGTTGGATTCTACCCTCACCACTGCATAAATGGGACATGGGGGCACATACCCACAATCCTAGTATTCAGGAGGTGGACACAGGAGACTCAGGCATCCAAGTCACTATCGGCTACATACAGAGTTCAAGGCCAGCCTGGGATACATGAGACTGTCTTTTAAAAAGCCCTGCCATGGGTGCCATCTGGCTGATCCTGTTGGGCAGATGTTTGGCAACAAGAGATGGGATGAGGGACTGGGGTTAGGAAAGAATGGAGAGGAGGAGGAAGGTATGGAGGAGAGAAAACTCTCTTCAAATTCTAAAACGGACTTGGCAGGGTGCACGTCAAGCACAGGATACTTGGGGGCATCCAAACAGACCTGTCCCTTCCTCTAAGTCAGGCCTATCTGACCTTGGGCTTCTCCAAGCCACAGTCATCTACAGACTTCAAGCTTGAGAACCTCACAGTTGAGTTACAACAAAAAAAAATAAAATAAAATCTCATAGTGTTTTAAATAAGCTTATGACTCTGTGTTGGACCTTTCCATAGCTGTCCTGAGTCTCATGTCTGTTCTAAACGCAGAGAGGAGCCTGGGGCTGGGGGCCACTTCTGGTGAGCAGGTCTGGACTGGAAGTCAGATGCCTGCACTTTAACCAGCCCTGTCCCTTGACACCTGGATGGGCTCAGGGGTCTCTTTCCCTCTCTCATGGGGGGGGGGCACAGGATGACCACTGGGCTCCCTGTCAGCTCAGACCATACATGGTTGTGGAAGTTGGAGACAGATAGATCCGGGTAGAAGAGACAGGAGGATGGAGGACCTGGATGTCCTGGGACAAAGGAATTTCCTGCCTCCCCAGCCCTAGAAGCCAGTGCTGAACACTGTGCCTCCACTCTGCCCCCATCCAGCTCATCCCTGGACCTTGATGGTAAGAAGGGATGGGAAGACAGGTACAGAGGACTCATCCCACCCAAGCTATGAAGACATGTGAGGGGCAGCAGATTCTCTGGGTTGTAGCCAAAAGTTCTCCCATGGGTCCTGCCCACACAACTGCCACTGTGCCTGGTACCACTGTAGCAAGCCAATCTCCATAGCACTTTCAAAGCCTTGAGCCTTGGGTCTTTTTGAAGTAGAAGCAAGTACTCAGAAGAGTACTCTGGTATGATCATGGACATATGAACTACCTGCACCCCAACACACATCCTCCTCGAACTCTAGGCCACCAGTTCCAGAAGCACCAAATTTCCTGCTTCTCTGGGCCTGGGGTGCTGTGGCCCAGCACAGCTGGTCCTGGGTTCTCCTGACTTCAGTCCATTCTGTCTAGCAGAAAGACATGAGTCGGCTCATCTCCACTGCAGAGCAGCTGTGCTGCCATGACTGGCTGCTCTCTGGCCATCTTCCTGCTCAGAGCTCAGCCCATGGTTCCAGTTGTGCTCCCAGGAGAATGGCTCTAACCCTGTGCCCATGGAACAGGGATTCTGTGAAAGTGAGGCACCCTTCCACAGTGCTGGTGGTGACCAGTTACCAGAAGATGGCTTAGTGGGTAAAGGTAGCGATGCTGAAACAGACCCATCTGGGTTCAAATCTCAGCAATGTCACTGAGAACCTGTGTGGTCTTTGGCCAGTTCACCTAACCACTGAGCACCAGTTAAGGGATAGCAAAGTTTGATATGTGAGTACTTAAAACATGGTACATGGCCACTGTGATCAAGTCTTTGTCTTCAATCTTACTAGGTGCCTCTGAGGGGGTGTAATCCTCTCCCATTAGGAACTTCATGAGGAGAGGCAGTGATTCACCTGTAAGCACACTAAACAACCATAATGATGTGTTTTAGTCCAAGAAGCCAATTCAGTCTTGAGCTCTATTAACACAAGGAACACAGGAAGGAAAATGATGCATCAGCCCAGAGATCACTGGGCGAGCCATGATGGAGGCAAGCTTCTGGGATGCTGCCCCAGTTCCTGCACCAAGATTCAAAACTCCTTTGGAATTTGTTAAATGTCCAAAAGATAGGATTTTTTGTTATTCATCATGAGCTCCTTCCAAGGAAACTGGCATTTGTGTTAAGAAAAAAAAATTGCTATGGGACCTCAGATAGCTTCCAGGGAGAGTCTGGCCACCCAGAAAGACCAGACATGGACCGCAATCAGAAGTTAAGGGTTTCTGCTCCATGCCATAAACATGCATGCACACATTCTCATATTCATATTCTCATTCTCTTCCCATTATCCTCCCTTCCCCCTAGAGGTTGAGTTCCATTAAAAGACAAATGATCCATGCCTTTGCATTAAAGCTCCCTCTGTATGCTTAAGGGTGCCTGGGGGCAGAGGGAGACTGCAGACATTCAGATTTTTATGGGGGCATGGGAAAGGATGTCCCACCAGCAAGGGCATCTGATAAAGAGGAGGGGCATTGGCTGACATTTCCCCAGAGTCGGTGTCTCTGGGTGCTGCAGAGGGCTCCTGCACCCTAGGGATGGGACCAGGTGTGGAGTGCTAACAATAGTCTACGTAGCTCCTGGTCGGAGAGGGGAGTTCAGAGCAAAGACTTGAGTGTCTAGAACATCAGCCACAGTCAACTTCCACCATGGCCTCCAAAAGCCATCGACCACTTACCAGTGGGCTGAGCTGGGCCTGTCCAGTGTCTGTCTTCAGTACCAGGTCTCACTAGGAGGGCTGGCACAGCCACACGTCACACATCCAGGTGGGAACTGTCAACAAAAGAGCAGACAGACATCAGGACCTTGGCCACACTGACTGCTGCTGGGGCTCGTCACCTGACTTACCCACAGATGCTAGGATCCACTGAAGAATGATCTGGAAATGAGTGTTTAAAAGCAAACCATGACTGTCAACAGGTTAAGAAGGCTCCCATCACCTTTATAACTGGACTTGAACTTCCTTTAAATCCTCTCGATGTGCTTGCCCAAGAGAAGGTGTACTCAGGCACAAAAATGCTAAAGGACCTTTTCCACCCTCAAATCCCATTGCCCTCTTAACATCAGCCTGCCCAATGGCCTGTGGCTTTGGCCAGTCCATACCATGGCCTCTGTGTGCCTGGCTGGGTCCACCTCTCTGCTCTGATCAGCCACTGCCACCAAGCATACCAGAGAGGCAACCTTGGCTCTTCCCTCTCCTTGTCCTGTGGATTTCAGCCACAGAGATTTTCTAGTTTTATGTCTCTTTGTCTCTGCCCCTCAATGGGAGGTGGCCTGTGTGACCCTTCCTGTCTCCTAATCACTGTCCAACTGGTTGCCAGAGTCACTGTGCCAAAGTTGTAACCTGGTCCCTACCTGCCATGGTCCTGCTGAAACCCAGTACCCTTTGACAGGGGAACCAAGCTGGTGTCTTTAATTCCTGCTCCTTCAGTCAAAACTTAGCCAAACTGAGATTCTGTTACAAAATGACAGGCATTCCTTTTTTGGCCAAATATAAAACCATAATTATGGATTTGATTTATAAAACCAAATGCCTGCTCCTTCTGTGTTGAATTCAACCTCATTGACCCCCACCAAGGAGCCCATTGGCGTGTGTGCTCTCTCTCTCTCCTTCTCTCTCTCCCTCCCTATCCCATCCCCTTGGGGAGGCCACCTATAGAATGAAACTATACCCTGAGGTGACATTCAGTGTCTGCCCCACCCTCTATTCCCATCATGCTCTGAAGCTGCTCATAATTCTTGGGGACAGTGGGGTCTTCCAGAAGCATCTTTTCCTCTTGACCTTCTCCTGACACTCAGGTGTCTCCTTTCTGGGGAATCTGTTCAATCCAGCTGCCACTCACTTTCACTTACTGTTCTCATTCATCTTGCAACCTAACAGCAACGGCGATTACCCAGAGTTCCTAGCAGGTGGAAGGGGTTGTGGTTTTGACATTTCTCTGTTCTAGGTGTTGCACAGGACTGGTATAAAGTAGGTGCTGGATAAATGCTAACTGACTAAGCAAACATTTGACTAATAACACACTGGGAAGTAGGGTCAGTTCAACAAAGCATCACCAGGTCTATCCAGGCCCCCAGGCCCCAGAGTCAAAGAAGGCCTAAGGGGAGCCCACAGCACACAGTGGAAAGACAGAAGCCAGACAGCTCCTTACAGGGACAGGTGACAGGTACCCTGAGAACTAAGTCACAACCTTGTAAACACCATGCTCTTTTGATACCCAGCCCAGGGGGCTGGCCCCTCAGGCCAGTCTGGAACAGAGTCTAGCAGATCGCCCACCACTTCAGTGGGGTGTCTCCGGACCAGAACAGTCAGTCAGTCGTATGCTTGGCACACACAGCCTAAATGGTCATGAGCTGTCCTTCTCCTGCTGGTCACCACTGCCACAGGCTCAGCGGCCTGAAAGCCCAGCTCTGCCCCCTCCCAGGTCAGTTCTGAGCAAGGCCTGCCACAAGGCTGAAAAGTCTCGGGCATGGCATCAGACCTCACAATAGCACAGCCTTAATCCTGCCAAACAAGCCCAAGTCCACAGGTAACACTGACCCCAGGGGTCCAAGAGGCAGGTAATGTCCACACCACCCACTACATCACAACCCACAGTCCTCTCACTTTCCAAAAGGCCCTTACCCCAGTTTTGACCCATAGGACCCTTGCTGTCCGCACAGGAGCCCTGGAGCCTTGGATACCCCTCCCACTGTGGCCAGATCTTTGCCCTCCACAGCTCCAGGCCTCAGGAGGCTGGAGGCACAGCTGTGCTGCAAGTCACTGCCAAGGGCATTGTCCTCCCTGTCTCACTAAAAGCAAGTCCCAGTGGTCCCTGGAGGGTGCATTGGCTTCCTGGGGCTGGAAAACAGATAGGAGCCCACACAGCCAGGCATGGCTCAAATCTAAAGATTAAGCTCTGTGTGCCTTGAGAGGTGGGTGACTATCTCCTGCCACCTCAGTGGAGTGTCTCCAGATCAGAACAGACAGTCATAACGCTTGGCACACAGAGCCTAAACAGCCATGAGGTGCCCTCACCTTGCTGGTCAGTCACCACTGCCACAGGATCAGGGGTCTGAAAGCTCAGCTATGGGCAAGGTAACCACAGGCACTTGCTGCAAGCCTCCAACATGTCACCAGAACCCACACTCACCGATCCTCCATCCTGGGAGACTCCCACAAGTGGCAGAGGCAGCGGCCGAGGCCTTGCTGCTGTTCTGCAGAATAGATGTGGGCAGTGAAATGAGAGACTCGGCCACACCCTGCCTGCCATGTTCAGATAAAGGCAGGACCATGGGGGACACTTATCACCATCTCTCACACCACATGGTTCCACAGTCTTCCATGTTCTGCCTCACATAATAACCACTGTGGTCATTTAGGACCAAAGTGCTTAAAAAAAAAAGAAGAAGAAGAAGAAGAGGAGGAGGAGGAATAAAGAGGAGGTAAAGTTGACGTCAGTCTTCTGAAACCCTGCTGGCTGGAAGAAGCTCTTCGCTGCTGCCTGCCTTGGATGCACCCAGGTACTGATTTCTGGGTACTCCTTACGCACGCTCTTCTAGAGAGGCCCAGGAGAATGTTAAGAGCTTCTGGCTAAGGGCCTCACACCTAGGGGGCTAGTAGCTATGTTTCCCATCCACCTGTTACCGTGAAGGACAGCCACGGGGCTAGATTCCCTTTGTTCTTCTCACTGTACAGCTGTAACATTTGGACTGGTTGTGAGCTTCAGGGGCCCGGGGTGAGCAGAAACTGGAACTGGACCCAAGAGCAAGACACCCAGGAGAGAGAGACCACTCCCAGGGAGCCATAGTCAGACTCTTCATTGAAAATGAGGGTGCCTATTACACAGAGAATTGCAGACACATGTATGCGGATATATAGTCAACTGGTCATCTTGATACAGGGCCTGGAAATGATGGCCTGGCCTGAGACAGACCTTGCTTGTCCAGTGCTTCTGGAGATAGAATACTGGAACCTCTGGATTCACGCTTAGGAGAATCAAGGTCTTGACTTAGATTTTAATGACGGCTATTATTCAGTGCGCAGAGCTGTGAACCCCAGGAGCTGCTGGGGCTGGGCTGGTCCTTCTCCCCAGCCCTACAATGAAGAGCCAACCTCTTGGTTTTCCAGGCAGGAACCTGAGGCCTTGGGAACCCAAGTGACTAGATCTGGGGCTCTAAGCTGGTCGAGAACAGAGCCTGAGTTTGAACACATCTGATTGACAGCGTGTTGTCTCTTTGGCGCCCCCATAATGGTGAGTAGATGCCACAGACCAAGTAGAAGGGTGGTAGTGGGGGGTTGGCAGGAATGGGGACATCAGCCAACAGCCCCAGCCCAAAGTCCGGGTTTTGTATCCATGACAGAAGCCCCAGCATTCAGTCTGGAAAGGAGAGTCTGGTTCCCACTCCTGGCAAACAGGCTCAGAACTGAGCTGACCCCAGCTCAGGAGGAAGTGGCCATTAGGAGGCAGGGGTCAGGGAGGCACCTCTAGTACCCACTTTGAGAAGGTGGGCCGCAGGGGTGGCAGGTAGCCATAGATCACCCATACATAGTACCATGGCTGCTGGGTCACTCAAGTAGATGGAGTCATCTCTGGACTCTGCTGGACCTGGACTCAGATACAGTCCTCTCACAAAATACCCACCGTGTGCCAGGCCCTGCCCAACTGCTAGAGATGTGAGTAGCAGAATCCCCAATCCTTGCTCTCAAAAGGCCTTCTCAGGGGTGGGGGCCATTACATCTTTGGTGGTGTGAAGTGAACAGTTCTCAGCATGGAAGCTGCGCAGTTCCCAGCACTGAGGCACCAACTCTGGGCTTTCACACACATAATGGGCTCCTCTACCACTGATCCCCAAGCCAGGCAGCTTTCGTGCCTTCACGAGGGGGAGGTGGGGCGTGTAGGAAGCTCTTGGTTTGCAGAAACTGAGAGGAACCAGCAGACTGGCTGGCCCTGGCTTCCCACCCACCATCCCTCCAGGGAAAAGGTCTGTTACCTTGGGAATGATGCAGCTAAGTACAGAGGCAGAGTGTCCTCTGAGTCACCGTTTCTCACCTCTGCTGTCTGGCAATCCACCCAGGCCTAGGAGGTAGTCACCCTGCCTACCCTTGCATTCAGGCGTGAGTGCTAAAGGCCAGTGCAGTAAACCTCAAAAGCATTCAACCTGACCAAGTGCAAAGGCCGCAACATTCTTATGTGTGGCCCAAGCTGATGGCGCTGCTTGAGGTCCTGTCTCATAGCCCTTCCTGCTCCTAGCCAAGAGCTCCCAGGAAGGGCTGCCCACCATGCCTTCTGCCACTAACACAGCAAACACCCCTGGCCACCAGAGGTGGAAATAAACACTTTTAATACTTGGAGGTCAAAATTGTTGCGTTTTTTTGTTTGTTTAATTAGGGTGTATGGATGAGTAGTGTTTTGTTTTCACCAACTGGGGACAAGGGAAAATTATATAAACATCTTTAAGAGGCAAAAGGATTTAAGATCGTGGGGGTGTGCTCTTAAAGAGAATTGTGGGATGTCAGGCATATCCCCTCTTTTACACCCAGCCATGAGGGAGCCTGCTCCCTCGTCATGGGCTCATGCCATGGTGCACCCTGCTGTCACAGACCCAAAGCAATGGGACCATTCAGCCATGGGATAAATCCTTGACAACTGTGACCAAAACAATTCTCTCTCTCTCTCTCTCTCTCTCTCTCTCTCTCTCTCTCTCTCTCTCTCTCTCTCTTTTTAAGCCAATTCAACCTGGCTAACACTTATGAAGAGTCCAGGTGTGTTATCCTTACCGTTTCTCAAATG